ACCATATAATAGATCTCATGAATTTAATCCTCCTAATTGAAATTTTGTACCCTTTGGCCAACATCATCCCAATCCATGCTCCTTCAGCCCCTGGTAATCACCATTCTACTCTCTGCTTCTATGAGTTTGACTTTTTTAGATTATACATACAAGTAAGATTATACAATATTTGTCTTTCTGTGCCTAGTTTATCTCATTTAGCATAATGTCTTCTAGGTTCATCCATGTTGATACATGTTGCAAAGGACAAGATTTCCTTTTTTTAAAAGCTGAATAGTATTCCATTGTATATATCTATATATACCATATTTTCTTTACCCATTCATCTACTGATAAACACTTAGGTTGTTCCTGTGTCTTGATTATTGTGAATAAGGCTGCAATGAACATATGAGTACAGATATCTCAATATACTGATTTCCTTTAGATATATACCCAAAAGTGGGACTATTAGATCAAATAGTAGTTCTACTTTTAAATTTTTGAGGAACTACCATACTGTTTTCCCTAATGGAAAACTAATTTACATTCCCACCAACAGTGTACAAGGGTTTCCTTTTCTCTACATCCTTGCTAATGCTTCCTCTTATCTTTCTGATAATAATCATCCTAACAGGTATGAGGTGATAGCTCTCTGTAGTGTTAATTTGCATTTCTCTGATTACTGATGTTGAGCATTTTTTTCACATACCAGTTAGCCATTTGTATGTCTTCTTTTGAAAAATGTCTTTTCAGATCCTTTGCCCATTTTTTAATCTGGTTATTTTTTTGCCTATTGAGTTGGAGTGCCTTATGTATTTTGGATATTAACCCCTTATCAGATGTATGGTTCACAAATATTTTCTCCCATTCCATAGGTTGTCTTCTCACCTTGTTGATTGTTTTGTTTGCTGTGTGAACAGATCTGATTTTAATTCTGGCTGTGCTACCAAATAAGGGAATGACTTAGGGCAAGTGGTTTTACCTCTCTGAAGCTTCTTTTTCCTTATCATAAAATGGGATGCAGCAGGGCTCTCTAGCAGAATTTTCTTTTCCCCATCTTCTTAACCTTTGAGATCTTGAAGGGTCCTCTTATTTATGTAGAAACACACCAGACAAGCCACTATGTAGAGAAATGGCTATATGTAGACCTTTCATTTCTTTTGTATGTTTTTTTTTTCTTTTTCTTTCTTTTGTATGTTTTTGTTTTTTAGAGACAGGGTCTTGCTATGTTGACCAGGCTGGATTCGAAATCCAAGGCTCAGGCAATCCTCCCACCTCAGCCTCTTGAGTAGCTGGGACACCACTATGCCCTGGGCATTTCTTTAAGTAGATTAGCCCAAAGGTGCTTCCACTCTTTCTCTGCAGACTGGTCATAGTAAGGGTAGATCAAGTTATATAAGCAGTCTAGGAACCTTCTGTCAAGAAAGGGATTGATTCTATAACTCCTTTGACTAGGGCAGCCAAAAAGGGAGAAAGATGGAGGTGAGTGCTTTGACAGGGTGGGAAGGAAGAGGGCAATACTCCTCAATCTAAGAGGCAGCAGCACAGGTTGGAGAGGTTGGAACTAGTCCTGACTTGGGCTGCGTGGAAGCCAGGTCTTCTGTCAAAGTGCCTTAATGTATGAACTCCAGAAGCTGTAACCTTTGAAGCTCAGGCCTTTTATGGGGTGAGGTTCTCTCTATTAAGTTAACACTCTGGATGATTCCTTGCCCCTGTAGTTGGGGAAGTGGTCTGCTCCAGGACCTAAATCTCTGGCTAATTTACACTGACTGCATATATCTGAGTATAAAGGGGAAGAAGTTGAAGCCTAGAAGGCATGGCTAGACTTTTAGACTTTTTGTTTTTATCTATCCACATACCAAAGAACCATCTTAGCTGCAAGAAAAATATAGATTAGGTGAGATAAAGTTTATAAAGTCTTTCAGCACTCAGGATATAGTAAGTAGACATGGTACAGTATCATTTCCATAGGAAGGGAGGCTCAGAAACTGTACTTTTGATTCTAACTACAGTAGCTTAGTAATTGAGGGGGAGCTGTTGGGATATTTTGGTCTCAGAATGGCAGGCATGTTACAGAGCCTGATGGTAGGATACAAGTTTCCTTGCTGGGTTCCTAGTTCAAAAGTCAACTTCTTCAGTTAGTTAAGAATGAAAGGGCTTAAAGAATGTGCTATTAGTCTGTCCTGTAGGTCAATCTTCAAAAATACTGGTCCAGTATGGACTGATTTGGATATTATTACTATAAATTTCTGGCTTAAAAAGGACAGAAGGTATTTTTACAGGTTCCTTTACAGAGATGTTTAGTGAGGAAACAAGAAGGCACTTAGTAATCTTTGCTATCACAGGTTAAATACAGGGTACACTGGGAGCACATAAGAAGAGGGCTACTTAACTCAGACTTTGGTGGGGGGGTCAGCAGACGTATTGTTGAGGAAGTGATGTCTAACTTGAGGTAGGCAGAAGCTTGGAGGTAAGAGTGCACAAAAGAAATGAAGATACTTCTGGCTGGAGAATGGAGTCTAAGATGGGGCAGCAATGATAAAGAAATAGGAAGAGGCTAGGGCTTTCTACAGAGAGCGACCATATAAATTTATCATACAGACAGATACTTCTAAGAGTGAAATAAGGCAATATTAATAATTATAGAGACGACAAGTGTAAACCAGGACTGTCCTGAGCAGATCGAACTACGGTCACTCTACATGTAAGTCACATTCAGGTGCTTGGACCTTCAGTGAAAGTGTAGAGTGTGTATCTTCTCTTTTTACCTTACACATTTTGCTTGAGTGACTGCCTGCTTACCTTTGTCTTTACTTGTTCATCTGACAAATATTTGTTGAGAATACACTTCTAAGCAGTGAGGTTACAAAAAAGAAGACAGTATCTGTCCTCAAGTTCATCTAGGGAAGACACACAGGCAAAGAAACAATTCTAAAACAGTTACACGATTTTAGCACTGACTACTCCAATGAACTCTAAACTTAAATTTGTGATTTCCAGTCAGAATGCAAAATATAGATCCAACCTGTAACTTTTAATTTCTCCTCCAAATCTGTTCTTCCTTCAGCTGGTCTCCTAAGTGATACTACTATCCACTATATCACTTAAGGCAAAATCTCAGAAAAGCACTGCCTTAATTAGTATTATCCTTCCTTGCACTGTGCCTTTTAATTTCTCCACATCTTTCTTAAGAACACTGACTAAATCGGTCTATGGAGATCCTAACATCAATTGAAGGCCATGACCCCAGTATTATGTAGGACTGTTTTTTTCCACAGTAGTACATTAATGACTTACATTCATTGTTGACAATCATGACATCCAGATCTGGGTATATGCCCTAGCCAGTCTCAAAAAATTTGAGTTTAGGTGAGAAAGACACGAAGATATGAGTGATTGACCCTAGCTCCACTTTGCAGAGAAGTTTAGAGTGGTCGTAAAGTTGTAGATGAAACATCAATGTTAATAAATTATCTGGTGAACAACTGCTTTGTAAAAGGACAATTTATGCTTTAAAGGGCAATTTGAAATGTTTCCACCATCCATTCTCCACACAGCTGCCAGAGTGATCCTTTTATAGCAAATCCTATTACTCCTTTGGTCTCAACTCTTCATAGTATTCTATCCCATCCAATAAAATCCAAAATCTAACCATGGCTTACCAGACAATACATAATCTGGCTACAAGCTATGATTTCTCTCTTATTTGTCTAATTTGATGTGTTCCAGCCACACTGGTCTCCTTACTTCTTTTCTTTTTTGGGGGGGGGCATCGCGGGGAGTGAAATTCAATTTCCTTTTTTTCCCCTGAGACAGAGTCTCACTCTGTCGCCCTGGGTAGAGTGCAGTGGCGTCGTCATAGCTCACTGTACCCTCAAACTCCTGGGCTCAAGGGATCTCCTGCCTCAGCATCCCAAATAACTGGAACTACAGGCACACCACAATGCCTGACTAATTTTTCTATTTTTAGTAGAGACGGGGTCTCACTCTTGCTCAGGTTGGTCTCAAACTCCAGACCTCAAGCAATCCTCCCACCTCGGCCTCCCAGAGTGCTTGGATTACAGGTGTGAGCTAGCGGTTACTTTTTTTCCATGCCAAACAAGTCCCTGACTGAGGGCCATTGCATTTGTTGTTTCTCTTCTTGAATAGTTCCCCTCTAGAAATCCACAGAGTTTCCTCTTTCATTAAATGATTAGATTTCTTTTTATGTGCCTCCTCTACTAAGAGGCCTTCTTTACCCTAACTAAAAGAGAATCCCCACATCACTCTTATCCCTTTATCCTGATTTATTTTTCCATAAAATTTATATTACTGGACATTATCCATTATTTACTAATAGCTTGTCAATCCTCCCACTGTAATATAAGCTCCATGAGGCAGAGATTTTGCTTTGCTCACCGTGAATTCCCAGAACCTGTTAATGAGAACAGTCTGCTCGTTAAATATTTGTCAAATGAATGAATAGATTTTCAGGATATACCAAATGTTAAGATATCCTATCATATACTTATTGACATGATGCATAGGAAAATGGAAGGGCATACACCAAAATGTTACTCTTTATTTAACCTGGTGGGAGGTAGTTTTCACATTATTTTTCACTCATGCGAATTTATTTATTTATTTATTTTTATAATGAACTTGTCTTACTCGTATACCAAAAAAGGATCCAAAGAGCCACACGGGCAGAAAGTGTAAATGGATTCTAAAAAAGGTTGGGTGAATTTATCAAAGACACACTTCTAGATAGATATAACAGCATAATGGTTAAGATAAACCGTGGTTTGAAACACCTTCCCCAACACTCCCCAGCAGTGATCCCAAGTTATTTTATGTGCCAGTGCCTAAATGTCATCACCTGGAAAATGGGGATACTAATAGCTGCCGACCTCGTGAGTTTTAAATGAGACCATATGTGTAACCTGCTTTGTACAATGTCTGGCATGCAGTAAGTACTCAACAAATGGTCGCTATTATAATAATCATTAGTAGTAGTAATAAGAGATGTTGGGACATACCTAGCCCTCAAGATTGACATCAGAGTAGACCACCACATCCTGTCATCATTGCGCCTCAATTTGGGCCTCTGAAGCCCAAAGGGGATGATGGTTCTTTCCAAAGAAGACAATTTCGACGTTCCAGAAGCATCTGAATGAAACGTACCCTCTTCACCCTTTAGACCATTCAGTCTGGTTAATCCATGAGCAGCACTGAGAGGCCTGGACTGGAGGCGCGGCCACGGCTCGCCGTCCTTGGGCCCAGTCCCTCAGCCTCAATTTCCTTTGCTGCAACGGGGTGGTGGTGGGAATGTTATCACAAACCCTGACAGAACCGGCCCGGTAGGCCTCACCGCACTCCGCAGGGGATCGAACCGCACGATGCACGGGGAAGCCTCTAGCGACGGCCCACGCGCCACACGGGAAAAGTAATTACGGGTGGCACTCAAAAGTCAGGCAAGCGGCTCAGCCCCATCCTCCCAGTCCTCAGGCCTAGGGACTGAGGCGGGCGCGCGGCAGGGACCCGGGAAGGAGCAGAGGGGGCGGCCGCGGGCGTTGGGCACCCAGCGGGGGCCGCTAAGGCCGGGGGCGGGGAGGTGGAAGGGGCGGAGGCGGCGGGCGCGCGGCAGGCGGCGCGCTCGCGATTGCGCCGTCCAGGAGCGCGCACGTAAGCCCGGGGTCGCGGGTGGCTGGCTGGCAGCTCCTGGGCGCGCAGGGGGACGCGGCGAGGTGAGGCGTGAGGCAGCGCAGGGCAGGCGGGTGGCGGGGCGCGAGCCCCTCTAGCGGGACTAAGGGGAAGCGGGGACCGCGAGGTGCAGCGGGGGAAAAGGGGCGGGCTGCGGGCCCTGGCGGCGGGCGAGCCGGCGGCTCCGAACCACGCCACGCTGTGGGGGAGGGCGGCGCGAGGCCCGGCCTGACGCCTCGGGCCCCGCCCCGTGTCTGGGCGGCGCCGCAGTGTCCCAGCCTCGACGCTCCTGTCTCTGCAATGGAGCGCGTAATTCCCACGATAACAGCCATTGTGTGTAGTGCCCCTGACTGTCCTTACCCATTGAATTTCCTGGTAGGCCTTCCAAACTAGGTATTTTAACTGCATTTTGGAGCCGAAGCTCAGGTAGAATGACTTGTCCAGGATCATACAGCTAGTAAGAACGAAGGAAGGATTTGAACCTTGGCTCCAAAACTTAAGAGCCTGTACCTTTCCTCTGTGCCACGCGGAATCTTTTGCTCACAGTACCTTACTTCCTCCACCCAGTAACTAATTTGAATTCAGCAAATATTAATTTGGAGCTAGTGCCCATGCTCCCATGAATGTTAGTGTCAGAAGAATGTGATCTCTAGTGAGAGGAAAGGAGGACAGGAAAAAAGAAGATTCTGCTTATTGCAATATTGTGCTTTTTGACGTGGAGTATATTTTTTTTTGAGACAGAGTCTGGCTCTGTTGCCCTGGCTAGAGTGCGGTGGAGTCAGCTTAGCTCACAGCAACCTCAAACTCCTGGGCTCAAGCAATCCTCCTGCCTCAGCCTCCCGAGTAGCTGGGACTACAGGCATGCGCCACCATGCCCGGCTAATTTTTTCTACATATTTTTAGTTGTCCGATTTTAGTAGAGACGGGGTCTCGCTCTTGCTCAGGCTCGTTTTGAACTCCTGAGCTCAAACAATCCGCCTGCCTTGGCCTCCCAGAGAGCTAGGATTACAGGCGTGAGCCACCGCGCCCGGCTGACACGGAGTATTTATCAGAGTGTATTCTACCCATCCTTTACTTGACCATCTGTATTTGAAATGACACTGCTGTTCATTACCTGTGAGACATTGTGCAAGTACCACAACCTTTCAGAGCTGCTTTTCTTTTCAAAAGGCAGCTTGTCTCAGTTTGTGAGGATTCATAGAGATAATCAACCAGTACCTGACATATGGAAAAAGTTCAGTAAATATTGGTCATTATGTTATTAGTGGGTACATAATACACTCTTGCCTAGACTCAATTTTCTTCAAGGACCACCTTTTCCTGGGACTACAGGAAGACCCACCCCACCCCAAAAAAGAAAAGTTCATTGACAGCCATGTTATCTGAGTGTTGCATACACTTAATGATGAATTATTCCCCAAGCTAGAAATATCAGGGTGAAAGAAGTCACTTCAGGAAAACTAAAGGTGAATCAACCTTTTGTAGAACTAACAGGTAAATTTGTTCACTACGTATGTGTTTATTGCATTTCTTCTGTGTGCTTGGCACTTTAAAAAAACATAAAAATTTGTATTGGATGTATTCTGTGCTTTAATTTAGTCTAGAAGTGGGAAAAAATATATGTTCAGAAGTAATCCTCACAAAGTAGAATGTGAAAAATGCCAGAAAAGACAGATAAAAAGCTGTGGATATATAAAACAAAGAGGGATGTTTGTTGATTTAGTGTGAAATATTAATATGATTTCATTTCTGCCTTCAGAGAAGATACTTGGTACGTTGTACTGTACATACATATTATATATTTGTTCAAAGGGTAAATTAATGGACACATTTATGTTGTAATAGATAGGATTCCTTGGTTTCCAGTAACGAAAACTCATTCAGATTAAAGTTTTTGGAAAGATAGAGAAGTGAGAGAAGAGCTAAACAGTTGGGCCACCTAGGGATAGGGATCTGAGCAGCCAGAGCTCCTTGGACCAAATTCTTTGACTAGTAAGTGACAGAGCTCCAACTGCCTTCTGTCCTGTGTGTCTTACTCAAGATCCAAATTTCTGGAAGAAGAGATCTCTTTGCTTTAGCTTCTTTGGGCCTGGGGGATGGGGTATTGTGATTGACAACCCCACCAGTACCATAAGAAATGTAGGAGGGTCAGTTCCTCAAAGAGGGCTAAGGAGAAAAGTGATGCTAGGCAGAGAAAGCCAACAGTTGTTTATTAGAGATATATAGCATTTATAGAGGGCTTACTCTGGGCCAGGCACCATGCTATATTATTTATATGTTTTAGGATATTTGATTATCATGTTTATTTCTCACACAACTCTGGGAGGTGGTATTATACCCATTTTACAGACAAGTAAACAGATTTATACAGATAAAATAATTTGTTCAGCATTACAAAGCTAGGATGTGGTAGAGCTAAGTATGTTGCATATCTTCTCTTTATTTTGTCCCTTTGAATTATTTTCTGATCCTTGTGCCACTTGCGTTTGTTCACAGAGAGTTCTCAAGCTTTGGAGTATATGTGTTGGCCAGTTCTGAAATCTTGAAGAAGCTCTGCACTGAGGAAGATCGAAGCAGTGGTCTTTGCCAATTAGGGAATGGACCGTTTGGGTTCCTTTAGTGGTAAGTACAGTGGGAACAAGTCTCAGGTGAATGTTAATAGCAAACTGAAGTGGAAGTTGATCAAGGAAGAAAAATAAACACTTTGAAGTTAAGTAATAAAGCCCTGCAAATCTGATCCTAAAGGAATTATAACAGTATCAAATCACACTGGGCGCTTATACCTGTAATTGTAGCACACTGGGTGGCTGAGGTGGGAGAATCACTTGAGCTCAGGAGTTTGAGACCAGCCTGAGCAAGAGCAAGACCCCGTCTCTACTAAAAGTAGAAAAAATTAGCTGGGTGTGGAGGCTCTTGCTTGTAGTCCCAGCTACTTGAGAGGCTGAGGCAGGAGGATTGCTTGAGCCTGGGAATTTGAGGTTGCTGTGAGCTAGGCTGATGCCACGCACTCTAGCCCTGGCAACAGAGCGAGACTCTGTTTCAAAAAAAAAAGTATCAAATCAAAATTAAATCAACCAATGCTTATTGATTGTCCACTGAATGCATGACACAAACATGTCACCCTGGGTCTTAGAAGAAAACAAAGCTAAGATGGACCAGGCATGGTATGGTTAACCTGTAGTTAGACTTAAAAAAAGGAATGGAATTTCTCTTTAGCACTAATAGTATGGTTCAAGTACTTTGATAAGAAATAATGTCAGTGATAGCCAGGAATGGTGGTGTATGCTTATAGTGCCAGCCCCTTATTTACCTATTTATTATCAGTATATAGACACATGAATTCCTATTTTTTCAATGATTTATGATTCATTAATATGCTTAATTATTTAGGTCCTCAGATTATTCCAAATTTGGCCACAGGGAGCCCCTCCAAATGGGCACCTGCATCCTTGTGACATTTTTTTTTTTTTAGTATCTCCTTCCTTTTTTGGTGTAACTAAATGTTCCAGGTGCATCTTTCATCTCCCCTGCCCCAGTCCTAGAATCAGCCACTTCTCTGAGGAGTCCTGGTTCTTTCAGAGAGTAATAATGTCTGACCACCATCTTGTCACTGCTCATTGCTACTAGAATATCTTTGCATCTTGGCCCTTTTGGCCCATAGAACTAGGAAATATGTGCATGTATATACGATATACATATATATCAATATACATACCTATTCGTGTACACATTTATGTATGCATACATGTACTTTTTAGAAATCATGAGTTTACATTGATACCTTTAATTATCTTCCCAGGCTTTTCTTGTCTTCCCTAATTCCTTATTCATGTTTCTTCTTCGTCAGTAAGAACCCTGGCTCCCAGCCACATCAACACATTTACTCATTTGTTCAGTCTTCCAAAATTATTTCGGAATCACTTTGTACGTATCAGTATGTAAAACAGACCTACTTCCAAAAGCTTGGGATTTATTTGCACTCCTTTCCTATATCACCCAATACCGAAGGTATACTGTGAAATGTTCATAAGTTACTTGGAGTGACTTTTTTTCTTCTTCAGTGTGATTATAGTATTCTTCTGAAATACTATTTATTGGATACTCCTGTTTCATTTTGCTTCCAATTTTCCTTTCCCATCTTTACTGATTTAATTTTATTTTTTAATATGTAGAGCATAAATGTGGTTCCAAAAGTCAAAACTCTGCAAAAAGATATATTTGGAGAAGTGCAACTCCCTCCTATATCTCTTTCACTTCATTCTAATGCCTTTTCCCCAACCCCTTGTATTAATAGTTATTCAAGTTCATTGTTTCTAGTTTATCTGTCCTTTAATTTTTTTTGCAAAGATAAGAGGCCATAGTTTTTTTTCTTTTTGAGACAGTCTCACTCTCTTGCCTGGGCTACAGTGCCATGGCATCATCATAGCTCACTCAAACTCCTGGGCTCAAGTGATCCTCCTGCCTCAGTCTCCTGGATAGTTGGGACTACAGGCACGCACCACCATGTCTGGCTAATTTTTTCTATTTTTAGTTGTTTGGCTAATATCTTTCTATTTTTAGTAGAGACTGGGTCTCGTTCAGGCTGGTCTTGAACTCCTGAGCTCAAGCAATCCTCCTGCCTCGGCCTCTCAGAGTGCTAGGATTATAGGCGTGAGCCACCGCACCCAGCCAGAGGCCATAGCTTTTAAATATTCTCTCATTTCTTACAGAAAAGATAGCATACTTCTTTTGCACTTTTTTTTTTCCCACTTAACACAATCTCTTGGAAATACTATATTAGTTTATAGAAATTATCCCTGTTCTTTTTTATAGTTGCATAGTACTCCATTGTGTGAATGTACCATTAGGTTATT